AGCAAGAGGATACTCAGGGAGAGATGACAGTGGCCTGGGCCGGCCTGGTGGCTGTGAAAGAGACAGGTGGATGGAATGAGGTATTCTGAAGGAACAAGCCAGCAGGACTTGCTAATAGACTGAATCTGGTGGTGAGGGAGAGAGATGAGTTTCTGGCTTGAGTCACTGAATGGACTTTGGGTGCTTAAAGTGGTGTGAACATGGTGAGAAGTGATGGATTTGACGGATATTTAGGAGGGAGAATTAAGAAAGCATGATATTTTTGGATGTGAGGGAGGCTTGATAGTATTGATGTTGGAGAGGAATAACTCCCAAGATCTTGGCTTATATACCTGTATGGATGTGGGGGAGGGTAAGGTAGGAAAAACTGGAGGAGCCCTGGATTTGGGAGCGATAATAATGTGCGTTTAGTTCAGTATTGCAAGGGTCTTGGGATTAAGGGCCTCGGAGTGTTTAAGTGAAGAGGTTGAACAGGCAACTGGCAAAAGATCCAAAAGCTCTGAACCTTAAAGGAGTGATGTGGGCAGGAGATGTAGGAGCCAATGAGCTTTAATTGAAAACTGGACCTATGACAGTGGTTGAGATCGACTAGTTTTTTTTACAGTGAGCAGAGGGACCCAGGTCCATGCCCTGAGGAATCGCAACATTTAAAGCTCAGTTGGAACTTCCATACGAACGACAATAGTGGCTACTTAATTCTGAATATTCCCACTTACTCTCCAAAAATGCCCATAAATCCAATAAGGAAAGCAAGTGAAACCACACGTGGCCCAGACTTTGAACAGTATTAGGAGACCAAGAACAGCAGGACACTCAAATTACCTGGAAGTAGGAAAACAAACCAAATTCCAAGAGAGCTCCTATTGCCCACCCCCAACTGCAAGCCTGTGGTGTGGAGAGCAGGGGAGAGGAATCTCAAGAGAATCAACTAAAAAAAAAAAGAGGGGGTGCAGAGGACAGAAAAGACACCCCTAGAAAGAGAGTTAACCACAAAACATTGAATGAAAGCCAGGACTTGGTAATTCATAGTACTGGCTATCTCGAAGCTGCTTAAAAGTGCCCAGGAAAGGAAGCATTGCTTTGGGGAACCCCAGGTTTATAGGGGAGGGGTAGTACCTACTTGGAGACGTGCCATCAAAGGGAAATCAGAGGGAAAATTAAGGATCCTGCAGAAACAATTGCCTTTCAACTGATTGCACTAGGCCCACCCACATTATCTAAAATAATTCCCCTTAGTGAAAGTAAGTTGGTTATAGACTGAAAATGCACCTGAAAAAAATAAAAAAACACCCTCACAGCAACACATGGATTAGTGTTTGACAGAATACGTTCATCTGGTCTCTGGGGAAACCATGGGGGGGTCTGAGAAGGTAACAGGTTTCAACAAAAGCCATAAACAAGGCAAGCCACATATGACTGTCCAAATCAGATGAAGTACAAACTCGCAGTAAGCAGTTTGACTTCACATGCATTAAATGGAAGGAAATCGAAATAGAATGTCTCATTTTGTGAAACTGGAAAGTAGAGGGGGTGCGATGAAATGCAGACTCCTTGGTGGATGAGCCGGCTGAAGACCTGGCCCTGGGACTTACTACCCTCAGTCTTTTCAACTCTAAAAGGAGAATAATAATAAAAATAAAACCATGGGTATGAGCTTTAAAAGCTCTTAATAAACAAAGCCCCAAATCTATCATCCTGATTTTTTTTTTTTTTGAGACAGAGTCTCACTCTGTCACTCAAGAGTGAGTGCCATGGCGTCAGCCTAGCTCACAGCAACCTCAAACTCCTGGACTCAAGCGATCCTCCTGCCTCAGCCTCCCAAGTAGCTGGGACTACAGGCATGTGCCACCATGCCCGGCTAATTTTTTACATATATATATCAGTTGGCCAATTAATTTCTTTCTATTTATAGTAGAGACGGGGTCTTGCTCTTGCGCAGGCTGGTTTTGAACTCCTGACCTTGAGCAATCCGCCCGCCTCGGCCTCCCAGAGAGCTAGGATTACAGGCGTGAGCCACCGCGCCCGGCCTATCATCCTGATTTGAAAACCAAAGGACCCCAGAACTAGTCACTCATCAAAGTCAATCACTGTGGGCATATCGATGACAGCAGTGTTAAAAAGCAGTTTATTCAATTCTAAAACATGCCAAGTTTCTAATATTCAATTTTGCTGGCAAGTCTTGAAGTGTTTTCCAAACTTTGTTTTATATCTTTTCACAGACAAGGAAAAACATGAAGATATTGTTGCTGAAGCCCAGGGTTTTGCAGAAACTACTTTCCAATGCTAAAATGAGGCTCTATTTCAGGGATCACTGATCTGTTTCTATACAGGGCTGGACAGTAAATGTGTTGAGGGCATCTGCTGCAACTATTAATTGTGCCCCTGGAGCTTGAAAGCAACCATAGAAAATATTAGATGAATGGGCATGGCCGTGTTCCAATAAAACTTTATTTATAGTAAAAATCATGCATAGGGCTGGAATTGGCCCTCAGGCTGTGGTTTGCTGACTACTGCTCGAATCAGTTAGAAGCTACATTGTTTGTATATTAGGAGAGAGTACAGAAAAAAAAAGGGGAGAGGTGGGAAGGCAGAGAGGGAAAGAGAGAGATTACAAATAAGTATTTAATATTAGTGATCAGCAGGAGGGGTTAACCATTTAAGACAGTGTGTTCCAAACCTGGTCATTAATCCAAAGCACCTAAGAAGCATTTTCAAATGACAGATTTCCAAGTTCCACATCCAGAGACTGCATTCAGTAAGTCTATGAATACTTTTTAGATTCCCCAGCGAGAGACTGATTTAAAAAATCAAGTGACATTAAAAATAAAACAAACTGTTGGCCTAAGAGGAAAGGATAGGAAAATGGACTCTCATTAGGGTGACAGGTGAGGTCCTGCAGACCCCGGAAGGTCCTGCGTCCACCGCTCGTGCATTCAACTTTCACTGCTGGGCGGGGGCAGAGAGCTGAGTTCTAACCCCAGTTTTGCCACTAACCACCGTGTGACCTCAGACAAGTCCCTTAGCTTCTCTGGGTCAAGGTTTCCTCATCTGTATCTGCAGTAACACCGCCTCCAGCAACAAGTGTGGGATCCTGTGAAACACAGATTGATCGCACTGCACTTCGGGAAATTCTAATCCTTTATCATCCCCTCTCTTACGAAGTTAAACCCAAACAGTGTTTAAGAGTGAGAGAAAAATTACTAAACCCATGGCATTTAACTGCCCTTTGGCAGGATCTTCACAGAATCACAAAAACATAACTAGAACTTCTGAAAGACATTCGATTTAGATGAATTGCATTCAATTTAATCTACTCAAGATTTTATGAAAGAACTTTCAACGATCACTAGGTTATTAACTCTAATTTTTCTGGGAACATCACTGGTCTTCTGGGCCACTTTTCTATGAGCTCCTCTTTGATATACTATTTAAAGATACTTGTTCAGAATAATAAAAAGAAGACGGCAAAGGCAGGCTGGCCAGCGGCTCAACAAGGCTATGCAGGCAACTGCTGAGCATAGGAATTAAAGAGTTTCTGCCCTTTTAGCAGAGAATAATTTTTATGTTTTTAATATGGCCATCTTTACATCGTGTGATTGAGGCTGAATAAAATGTTATTAAAGAATATAAGGATAGAGGAAGGAATGTACATATACGGTAGTCTGTATGATCACTGATTTTGTGCTAATTAAAAATTCCTAGAAAGGCTAAGAGCAGTGGTGGTGAGGGCCTTTGGAGTCCACTGATGTCAAGAGTTCCAAAGAGTGTAAATTCTACATGTGACCTCTTGTCCTCCTCATACACATTTGTACGCTGTATACATTACCACTTCATTGCACATAGTTCCTAATCTCTTGCACTTGACTCTTAATGCAACATTTTTGGAAATAGTGGGTAACAGTTAATGCTCCATACCAACTTCATAACTAATTTTCTGGGACTACTGTGAATTCAATCCAGAAACTTAAACAATCAAAATGAAGGGATAACCCTCCCACACACACACAAATTGAATTAAAGTTCTCTTCCAGTCAATTCTGCAAATAACACAACATATATGTTCCTAGAAATCACTGCTTTAGGCAAAACTGTACAGTAGAAACCATAGAACTTATGGGGAAAAATGGGATTGGGACACAACACCCCCAAAACTTCATCAGTTTCACATTAAAAAGAAAACCCAGCAAAAACAGCACAGCTTTAAACATGGTACATGGTTTGGAAACATAAAATTACCAAAATAAACAGGACAAGTTACGTTGCAAAAGATCTGAGGCATGCCTGTGGTTGCAGGCGTCAGGAGGGTGCTGGTGGCTCTTGGGTTGCTGCAAAGTGGAGGAAACTGATCTGATGTCGGGTGGAAAGTTCTAACTCCAGATATGGACGAGTGTGAGTCATCACCAGTGTCGTGAACTGAGGTGGTGGTGGGTGTTTGAAATGTGGGCGTCTTTTGTGTCCCTACATAGCTCAGTTCAGCTGGGTGCAGTTTCCTGCATTCGCCTAATGTTCCTTGTGAGCCAAACTGCACACAAGCAATGTGAATTGCGCATTATGCTTAAATTATTCTCTAATAATCAAATCAGAACAAAATATGAGTTTTTAAAACAAGTGCTAAAGCTATGTTTGTTAACCTGGCAGCAAATGGAATGCCATAAAAATGTCTTCCATCAAGGATATCCCAGTGAAGTTTCAAAAAACTGACTCTCACAGAACTAAGGTTGATCAAAACTAAAAATAAAATGATATGACTTTATATAGGGTATTTATTGAAGATTTTTTCCCCCCCTCTGCTTGTTCACCTTGGAATAAGTCAATTTTGTTATGGAAGTTTGCATTATTTACAGATAAAATAGTTCACAGATTGAAGGCAAGGCTTTATAAACTAAAAAGATTCAATTTTGCTTCTTCAAGGATTAGCCAAAGACACTCTCAGTATGATGTATGTAAAATTTGTTTGCAACAGGGAGAAAGACGATTGAGACAGGAACAAAGAATTCACCTTGTGAGTCATCAAAGTGCTTTATTTCGTAAAGCCCGGCTCATGACTGGAGTGTATTGTTAGCACTGGGAGATACAAGGCAAACTTCCTCATTCTGTCCAAATAGTTTATCAACAGAAACAGATGACAGAGACTGTTACAGACAAAAATAAAAGCATTTTGTAAACTTCTAAAAGCATATACGAATTGGCCACAAAGGAAACAGTTACTCAAATAATGTATGTGTACCTTATCCTTATATCAGGGTCTTATGTTTGTAGTCTTGGGTCAAAGAAACCACAGAACTTCAGGACACTAAAACTGATTCGATGCCAGGATTAATGGTGGAGGGGGAGGGGCAGGAACCAAATCACAGTATCCATTAATTTAAATACATAAAATATGAATTTGTACAATTATGTTACAGTGGTGGGAACATCACCGGTTGAGGATAACAAATCTACGGGAAAGTCAGTAGATAGGAGGGATGGTGTTGCTGCTGGCTCCCAAAGATTCTGTGAGTAAGTCCACATACACTGGGCACAACTGCAATCTGGACAGCCTGAAGTGAAGTTTCTGGAAAAGGCAGTATGGCAGGGGGATTTGTTGAGCTGTAAGTAATAATTAAAGGGTGGATTTTTTTTTTTCCCTTTTCTGAAACTGCTTACAAAAATCATCTCACATCTTAAAGAATTTCAAAGGCACAGCTTTTGCACAGCATATAAGTTGATAAACCTACTCTAAGCAAGTCTAATAGTTTAGCTTGACGCCTTTTGGAAAATGCGGGAAAGTTGGTAGATACATGATCTAGGTTGGAAATCTATACTTTGATTAAAAACAATCAGCACAGTTTAGGGCAATGAACTTACATAACCAGATTTGGGTTTAAATCTCTTTTTAAAAAATCATTAGGTCGATAAATGTACATCTGGAGGAAACAAAACAATCCTTTTCCTTTTATTGTAAAAGACTGTCTACCATGTACTTTGACTAAAACATTCACTCAAAAACATGACTGCAGTGTACATCTCAAAATATGACAAACATTGTTTCACCTACATTGTAAAATGACTTTACATGTAAACTTCAAAAATCACATGCTGTACATTAGATTTTTAGATTCAAAAATATCCCTGTTTTCCTAATAATGTAAACAGTAAAACTGAGGGTTTCAGTTAAAGGGATAATTCATAACAAAATCCCACCGTTAACGATGGTCGAACATAAACATCTTATAATTCAGATCTGAGTTCGGTAACAGGAGAATTGAGAGTTTGAACACTTTGCTCATCCCCCCCCCCCCCTTGGTGGGAGATGCAGATACCATTGCCCCAAACTATGCGCTTTTCAGGTAAGCGTTATTTTGACTTTGTAGCATTAATTCCTATACTGCAACTTAAGGGTGTAACGATGAAGAGGCTCCGGGCAAGAAAAGAGAAGTAAGCAGTTTTCCCGGACGTATGTACTGAGGTGAGGATGAATAGACAGAGTCACTGGGACATCAGCTTCTTGGTGGAGGAAGGGACACTGTCAGGGGCAGAGCCCTGAGCCAGTACATGCGGAGACGCCAGCATTCTTCCGTCCAGTGCCGGGGCTCGGGTTACAACTGTTAAGGAGTGTCTGCGCGAGGGTGGAAGTGTAACATTCGCAGTTTTCTTTTAATCATCATCATTATTATCATCATCATGTTATTATCTTCATTATTATTATGAATACTGTCTCACACATCTTTCCAACTCAAAAAAATAAACTGATCCACAGTTTATCCGTGATGCCAACAGTGTTGCTCTGACACGCATTTCCTTCTCTCCCTCCCCACACAAATGGTGCATTCATTCATTCATTCATTCATTCATTCCATCATTCGTCTCATCCATTCAGCCACAGCTGGAATCAGAGGGTTTTTGTTGTAACGCATTCTGACCGAAGCTGATCGGTTTTAATTACTTTAAGATGCACACACACGCGTGCGCGCACACACACACACACAGTCAGAAATAGCTAGAACGATGCTGGGAAGTATCGGGTAGCTGTAAAGCGAGTAGCCCCCAGACCCGTCATCTTGGCCTGCAGATGTAAACAAGGAAGTTTGCGTCCTGCAACATGAGTGCTTCACTGAGTTTGGTTTTTGTTTTTCCTACACCGAAGCCACCTCTGTCCGTCCCATGCTCACATCCGTCCGAGGCTACGCGGGAGGTTACGTCAAGATGTGGCCGATAAAGTCCAAAAAGCGCTTTGAATACTGCTCTGGGTTCACGGTCGAGATCTCCGCACCGGCCTGGGCAGTTTTAGAGAAAGGAAAGATTGATAACACATTGATGATGACTTCCCCGGATTCCTACTCGATAGCTACGGCCACTTCCAATCGCAGCTGAATATAAACTGAGCCATTCTCAAAACTATGCAGCCACTTAAAACATAACTCAGAATACCTTGGCTACCGTGGCTGAGTAATCAAGGCTCTTACGAGTCTGTGTCTGAATATGAGGCAAAGAGTGCAAGAGCACCAGATGCTATTATCTCAAATACTTGGGACTGTGGCAACTTAAAATCAAATTAGGCGTGTTTGGGATGTCCCTATCCAACAGCAGAATCATTTAAAAGCCATAGGGACAACACTCTTTTCAAGGAGGCAGACCGAAGATACCTTGAGAATGACACAAAAAATATTTGGCAAAAATGAAACCTTGACAACAATTGAAGGATTGTGTTAATTCTTTAGCACCCCTTAGTTTAAGTAGTTGCACTGCTCAAAACGAGGGGTGATGATAGCAGCAACAGGCTTCTCTGCACCATACCCAGGTGGGACACAGCACTGCTGGCTGCGTCTCCTCCACGGGGCACAGGAGAGCCATTGTTCCCTCGTCACAGAGCCAAGCCCGGCTCCTTGCAGAAGTCTAGTGGGGAAGTTTCCATGATTCAGACGCGCAGTGCTGGCCAGCACATGCAAGGGACTCACTTACCAGTTGCCTGAGCTGCAACAGGGCAAGACCAGAATTTTGCTAAGTCACCAGGTGCTATATTTAGACACCCATGTTCATGGAGGACTCGCAATTTCCAGGCCTGGGCTGCTGGGGTCTCCATGGGAGGAGTCCAGGCCTTGAAGGCAGAGAAAGGTCCCGGACAGCAGCCCAACAAAACATTTCCTTTGCCAAGTGTAACGACTAGTTCTTGCAAACTGACCACGATTTTGGGCCACACGGTCTATTATGGAGCTGAACTGGCAGCTTACTGGGGAGACTAGCACGGAGCTGTGCTGGCTGCAGTACACTCCAATTTCATACACTGTATATAACACAGGGACGAACCTTTGCAAAGCATCTGCCCGGCGTTTGGCCTAGTCGTGTCATGTATCGCCCCGTAAGACCCCATCGGCGAGGCATTAGGACCCCGGTATCTGCTGAAGGAACTGTGCCCCAGGAGTGTTCCCTGCAGGGCAGGCGAGTGGGAACGTGAAACAGACTGCACCCAGTTCCATCTTTGCAACACTCCCGTGGTTTTCAAGCAGGGGGGAGCCTCCGAATTACCACGGGGCCCTCTGAAGACCGACCCCTCCTTCAACCTCCTGAACTGGACTCAGAACCAGGGAAAGGGGGAGGTGCACCTGGCACAGTTTAAAAACGGTACTCGGGAGGCTGGGTGAGTGCTAACACACTCGACCAGCCGGGCGAGGTCCTGGGCTCTGACCATAGCTGTAGACGATGTGACTGAAATATTTCCGTGGCAAATGGAATATAGTTTTAGTCCAGTTTCCATTTAAAAAAAAACAAAACAGCCTTTATGTGAGTTTGTTGGTCCTGGTCTATGTTGGTCATCTCTGCACAGTCTGGGTGACATCTCTCCCTTTGGGGTCAACAAACCAGGGCACAAGTTCATCTGTGTGGGATGGGCTCTGGGATTTTTAGTACATCTGAGAAGCCAAACCACAATACAAGCATAAAAGGGATACTCAGAACTGGGAAGTCAGCCAGGCAGGAGGGGTTCACTCGGCATTACTGGATTCTCAGCGGGGAATCCCTTCTCTGTGCCCTTTCAGTTGTGGGGCCCTGGGCAGTCACTCCTGAAGCTGTCCTCAATTTCTTCAGCTAACAAAAGGGGGCTTGCCTATCATCTCCCTCCCAGGCTTGCCAGGGGGGTTCACCAAGTTAACATACGCCTAGAGCAGTGACAGCTCTGAGCAAGCCAGTGAAGGTGAGGAATTGATATTATGAAAACTTTGATCTTCACTCAAAAGACTTCTGTAGTAGAAAAAAATATAACTCGCTCCAAGAAAAGATCTGTAATCCAGTACATTTTGGAAGTGTCTTAAGCAGAGCATTGTGCTGCTTTCAGTTCTGAATATTTCATTAAACACTTAACTATCTTTCAGCACGTTTATCTCTGGAATGTTTTTTCAAACAAAAGAGAATTTGTATACTATTCTAGTGATGCATGTGAATATCCGTAGCGTATGGCCAGGTGTGGTGGCTCACACCTGTGATCCCAGGATTTTGGGGGGCAGAGAAGGGAGGATCGCTTGAGGCCAGGAGTTTGAGACCAGCCTGGACAACATGGGGAGATCCCATCTCTGCAAAAAACAGGAAAATTAGCCAGGTGTGGTGGCATGCATCCATGGTAGCAGCTACTCAGGAGGCTGAGGGAGAAGGATTGCTTGAGCCCAAGAGTTTGAGGTTGCTGTGCACTGTGATTGCACCACTGCACTCTAGTTTGGGTGACAGTGTCTCTAAAAAAAATAAAAAGAAAAAGAATCCCCAGTGTGTGAAAAGATGATGTACTAGAAGCCACAGAGACTCTGGGTAAGAGCAGAGGCGAGCGTTTAGCATTTGCAGGCTCTGAGTCTTGCACTAAGAACATGGCCCCCACGCCCCCGCAGGGAACAGGCATCACCAGAGGACTTTAACAGCTCAGTAGAAAGGAGCCAGGCAGCAGGAAGGGGTGGTCCCTGCGTTACAGACAACTTCCAGGACTGGGAGGAGGAGGAGGAGACAAATCAGAGATACTCACGCCATGTTTAACAGTTTTTGCAGCGTGGGCAGCTTTCTTTTTTGCATCATAATGAGTAAGGATGTCAATAATGGCCATGAAGTACACCTCCTTCCTGGGAGAGTCTGCAAAGAGATGAGAGCAGTTGATCGTGGGACAAATGCCAACACTGGGGACGGCACAAGCTGCCGAAGGAAGGAAGAAGTGAGGCTGGGGTGAGAGGGAATCAGTGGGATGGGGATGGAAAAAAACCCCACACAACTGCACAGCCCGACCACATAGACAGCTTGCCTCTCTGTACCCAACCATCTTCCAATTTAAAAAGCAAAAACAAACATGCCCCACCCAGCAAAATCCCATAAACATAACCTCAGGATATTAACAGTAGAAGTCTAAGGGTAGGATTGAGTGTTTTATTTTTATTTTTTGCTAGTCTGCAATTTCTTTAATGATTATTGCTTTGGTGCAAACAAAAATGCCATTTTAAAACATAAACCAAGTAGAACTTAGGCTTATTAATCCTTTTCTACCATTTGATGTACTGTTCATTATTCTCATTGGATATAATATTAGAACTGGATAAAGGCATGTATCACCTCCAACACCTATTTTCTCTACAACATCTATTTTCTCTACATTTCCAAAAATATGCTGTTTCAGTTATGAACAGTAAGAAAAATACATTTGAGTGCATCTTAATTTTCTGTGTTGAAGAAATAATTTTGGTGAGCAAAATAGAAACAGAAAAAAATACAGCTCAAACCCCTGGGTTAATATGCTGTCGGAGATTTTTTTTTTTTTAAATACTGATGAGCAACACTTTTTATTACTCAAAAAAAGGCTGCTTTTATTATATCACTAATCTATTTGGGTTTTTTAAAATAGATGTGTAGCTAAGATAGAATGCAATATTCCTGCAAATATCTGGAACCAGGAAAAAATTATACTAGAAAACACTTCTGATATGTTATCTGTAAGTGTGTGTATATGCATGTGGTGGGGGTTGTACATATAAAGTAGTTGGGGTTTTGCTCTGTTGCCTCAACATCACAAAATTCAAAGACCTACGCACATTACGGTTCAGCACCCGAGATCAGTTATAGTTACCGTTCTTGTTCCCAAATCCACTTATTTGGACTCTGGAGAAGCGGGTCTTACAGGGCAGCGCACTCGGGACCAGGGTTAAGATTACCGGTAGAGAACAATGCAAACCCCAAACCACTCCACGCGCAAAAAGCGGCGTCACTGAGCTTACTTTCATGGCACTTGATTCCGTAGACGTCGATGTTGGGGTCGAACTCCCCGGGAGCCAGGGGCGGCGAGCTGTTCAGCGTGTTCCCGGGGCTGTCCGGAGGGGTCCCGACCGGGTGGGCGCCGTCGCTCTCCCCCTCCTCCTCCCCCTCGTTGTCCTCGCACTCCACCTCCTCCTGCTCGGCCCGCTCCACGTCGTGGATCCCCACCAGCAGGCTGTAGTCCATGAGCTTTAGCTGGGCAAGAAACTGGAGGGGGCGGGAGGGAGGCAACAGGGTCAGTCACGCCTTAAACGCCAAAGCTGAGATTTACTGAACACGAGCCCAGGGCGGCACACACGGTGGGGGAAGGCTGTGAAGACGGCCAGCTCGGCCAGACGAGCTCTCGGTGACGACGCTCTCGCACGCCCAGGCCGCTTCTCTGGCTGCAAACGCAGTCCCGCTCTGCAGCGGGCTCAGAGCTCGTGTTATCCCCGCCACCGCCCCACCCCGTGCCCAGCTGGGTGCTGAGGCGTGCATCCGTCACAGGGGCTGGATCACACCACAGAGCAGGGGGCATGTCCGGCACGGATGAGATTGGGAGCAAGGGAAGAGCAGGTGTCTCCCAACTACTCAGAGTGGCTGGTGGGGAAACCGGGACCCTCCCATGTGTTGTGGCCTGATTATAGGACGGGGGATGACATAGCATATAAAATAACGACACAGACACACATGGACATGACAGTGACTTGAGTGACTAATGCACCAGTCGCTTTATTTTTATACCCCCCAGACTTAAGGTTAGTTTTTTGTTTGTGAGCATTTGAGCACAGCAGCGATATTAGCCCATTTTGGAGTTGTTTTAAAAGGGAATTTTTTTATGGTTTTAGACTTTAAAACAGTTATTAAAGTAAGGTGTCGAACAGAGCTCAAAAGCCAAGGCCAAGATAGGCAACATAAAATAATGTAGCCATTTGAGGTGCTTTTTGGTCTTAATTTTAGGCGGTGGCTCTTTCTTTGGCCCCCACGGTTGTGTTTGTTTTAGGTCGCCCCCCTTTATGGGGAGTTCTATTTGTCATTGACTATTAACCATTAATTGGGGGCCAGTTTTGGGGAGAGTTTTTTTTTTATTTTTCTTTTAATGGCCTCTAGACTCTCACTACGGGGGCCCTCCGTGTGGGAGCTGGGAGCATCTGCTTATGTGTAGCAACCCAGGCCTCTTATCAAGTCATAAGGCAGCAACCGTGTCTGAAGAAAATGCTGACTGCCGCTGCGTCGGGCAGCACACGCATATCACAGGCTGTAGTGAATGATTAGTATAAGGCAGAACACTAGAATCACCCCGACACCCATGTGGCATCCAGCAGAACCCTCAGAACGGTTTGGGAAGGCACCTGGGCATTCCGCGCACACCTCAGAGATGGTTACGTCATCTGTCACAAATAAGTAAAGGCCCGGGGGTCCCAGTGGCCCAGCAAAGGCACCGTGTGGAAGCCCCGGTGAGGAGTGTGGCCCTGTCCTGGTCTGGCGTCCTCCCGATGCAAGGAGGGGTCGCAAGATGCTGAAGGAGGCCGGGCGCGGTGGCTCACGCCTGTAATCCTAGCACTTTGGGAGGCCGAGGCGGGCGGATTGCTCAAGGTCAGGAGTTCGAAACCAGCCTGAGTAAGACCCCCGTCTCTACCAAAAATAGAAATAAATTGACCAACTAAAAATATATATACAAAAAATTAGCCAGGCATGGTGGCGCATGCCTGTAGTCCCAGCTACTCAGGAGGCTGAGGCAGTAGGATCGCTGAGCCCCGGAGTTTGAGGTTGCTGTGAGCTAGGCTGATGCCACGGCACTCACTCTAGCCTGGGCAACAAAGTGAGACTCTGTCTCAAAAAAAAAAAAAAAAAAAAACACAAAAAAAGATGCTGAAGGGGCCTTGCTTTCCACACGGCACCGTGCTTCCAGGACCCCTGTCCTCCCTCCTCTCCTGGTCCAGCCACCGCTAGAATATAACGTGGGGCAGGACCTAGCTCGGTGCGCCTGGCTGCTGCTCCTATCTGCCAGGTTGTTTTTTCACTTTGCTGATCATGCTTTTTTTTTCTTTTATTATTTTTAAGTAGACGAACCCAAATATGTGACTTTTAGCACAATTGTCTAATTGAGCCATTAAAATGTGGATGGTATCGCTGAGTGCAAACCCTGGCAGCCCATCTGCTGGCTGGAGCTGGGGCTCCCTGCCCCTCGGGCTGGCTGGTTCGGCGCAAGAGCCCACCCTGCCCTGACCTCGGGCTCGGATCCAAGAAGGTGCGTGGCCCTGACTCTCGGAGAACTCGGTGGTGCCTGCTCGATGATGCAGGGCACCTGACCGGCCTCTGGGCTGCTCTGATAGAAGTTAGGGAGGGAACTGGCTTACACAAGGGGCAAGCAGATGAAATTATAGGTCTTGAAGTTCTGGCTAAAAATGAAATGAAATCAATGTGCCAAGACCTGCAGAGCCATTTCTTTCTCCTGAACCTGCCAGGAAGCAGCTCTGCCTCAGAGATGAAAGAGAAGCCACCTTCCTTTGCAGACAAGGAGAGGATCTCTGGCCCTAGGTCTGCCTGGGTGTTCTCTCCAGCTGTTCCCTGAGGCCTTCTGTCGGCCACCGGGCCCCACCCGCTCTGCCTGTCATCCCTTCCCCAGCTCCCATCCCGTTGCCTTCCCCCCACGAGTCCCCCAGGGCCAGCTAAAACTTCCCCAGTTATTTTGAGCTCAGAAAAAAGAAATGACACAGATCTCATTCAGAAATTTAAGCAAGGTGTGGGAGAAACCTGTTTATGTAAAAATAGATAGAGGCAAACCCCTCGTCTAGACAGCGCGGGGCTCCTGCTCACCACCACGCTCCGATTCGGCGTTCTGGGCCCCAGGGAGAGAGGAAGCCGCTGTTCCTCCCTGAGGAGGCCTTTCCCCAAACTCCCCCACTGCAGAATCACAAGAACCAACTTTCCATTTCTACCTGCCTCGACCGGACTTCCTTTCTAGCAGTCAAAGCCCGCCCATCCTCCCTAGAATCGTGGCAGAGGCTGGACTTCAGGGTGCACGTGGCCAGGGACGTGTTTGGGGGCGCCTTCCCCAGCGGGGCTGGCAGAGAAGCCAGTGCCACGGCCACGTGAGGGGACACTATAGCAGAGGCCTGTTGAACCCCGTGCCCACAGTCCTGTCACCCAGCAAGGAAGCTGGATCTCTGGTACCCGCCGCCCTGCTTAAGTGGGCCTGCCGGGGTGGGCGAGAACTGAGCACCATGGGGTGCAGAGACAGCGGACCGGGCTCAGGGCTGCCACCAGGGTGTCCACGTGAGCAGAAACAGGCTCAGAAGACAAAGAGAACACGAGGGTTCAAAGCTAAGGAGGGGCGAGTTCAGGGCCGCGTTCAAAGCCTGCGTTCTTCACACTGATTCACGCTACCTCTGGAGGCTACGTTAAAGCAACTTCCCCACGTTTCTTAAACACAATCCACGCGCTTCTGAAGAGGAGACCCCCCCATGTCACCAAGCTCTGCGGGTCTCCAGAGGGGTACACAGCTGGTAGCACACCTCGCGCTGCGGTGATCATGGAACCTGCCCCCCTTTCCAGAACACCCTGGGGGCCTGGGGTCTGGACGCATGTTTGGAGAGCACTGCATGAGAAGTACACTGCCAGGGCGTCCGGCCCTCGGGAGGTGTGGCTGGTTCCCCATGGCCCCACCCGTTGTTCCAAAGCCTTCAGTCCCCAGCAGAACTGGGTCGGAGTCTCTCTTGTCTCCTCCACTGCCCCCCAACACCCAGCCCGGGGCTTAGCCCTGCTCCCTGGGTCTAGAGCCTCCCTGGCCTCCATCCCCACTCCCGTAAGCCTCTCTGGGGTCAGGGGTGCGGTACTGCGGGAGACCCAGGTGGCAGAGTCCACACAAGCTGGGGGTGGAGGGCAGGTGGGGACAGAGCCAGGAGGGGCCCTGCTGAGCTCGAGCAGTGGCAGGGAAGGGCCACCTCTCGCCTGTCCCCACTCCCTATGGGTGCCTGGAAGGTTCCTGTGAAGACACAAAGACTGGGTGCTGCCGGAACCTCCCCTCCAATCTTCTGGAAAGGGAAGATGTTTCCAAAATGCAAATTGGATCACGCACAGCCTGCTTGAGATTTTCAGAGGTGCTGCATTTCTCACAGGGCAGAAATAAAACTCCCACCGGGCTCAGGAGGCCAGGACAGCTTGGCCCCATCCACCCCTCCGCCAACTTGAAACCTGCTGCGCCTCCGTTCCGGGACGTCTCCCTTGTGCCCAGGTACCGCCTACTGGACCCTCGGGTCTCAGCACCTGCTCAGGGCAGCACATCCCCTGAGTCTGAGCACTTACGGTACCGTCACACCTCAGCGGCACCTGGCTCAGCTGAGCGTTCATTTTGCTGGAGCATTTGAGTAACTTCTCTCAAACACCCCAAAGAATAAAGAAACAAACAACAGAAAACCTCTGTTTGAGACTGCAAGAGGCATCGCTTCTGAGAAGGAAGCACAATGAGACCATTCACAATATATCTGTGCTCTCCTTTGGGACAGAATCTTTAACAGGGAGGGGGTCAGTTTGACCTTCAGATGGTTTTGACCTTCAAATACACTTTCAAGTGCGCTTTATTTATAAACGTCAGGGGCTGCCTGTGATTCACTTGCCAAAGGTCAGACAAGGGAGGGGAGCCAACTGGGGGTGGCCAGTTGCACTCACCAGGGTGAGTCTCCAGCCCTAGTCTTCCCCCGGGCCTCAGGCCTGCAGTCAGCCTTCCAGAAAGGAAGAAGTAAAGGTGTGGTCAGCTCCTGGCTAGTGAGACCTGCTGAGAAGCTGTTCTGACATACCCAGGAAGATCCAGGAAACCAACTGCAGTCCCAGTGGGTATTATCCGTGTTTTCAAATTTATGAGACTGCAGTAGAAATGAAAAAGACCAAGGACAGCACAGAGTATATAGGTTTTACATTAAAAAAAAGAATTAAAGATCCAACAAAATTCCAGAAATCCCTTGCCTCTATTCCAAGGGCCAAGATTAGCCATAAGCTTCTCTTCATTTTAAGAATGTTTCAAGTTCTATAACTAGTTAAAAGATTTTTTAAATTAAATATTAAATTATGACCCATTGATTCTAAAATGCTATTCTAATATGAAATCTCCCTCGGACTATGTCACATTATTAGTGCAAAGAAAACAATATTAAATCAGGAACTTAAAAGAGTATAGGTTTTGCTGACTAGGTTGACCTATTTCTTCTTCAATTAAAGTATCAGATAATGTTAAGATAGAGTACAGGAGTCAGAGGGGAGATTAAGTTTCATTTGTCTCACTCACTAGTTCTGTGCCTGGGTGAGTTAATCTCTCCGAGCCTCAGTCATTCTACCTATAAAATGGGACAACACCCCTCACCTCACATGGGTACAGAAGGGCCGAGGCAAAGAATATGGTGCCTTGCACACGGTGGTAGAAGGTGTTGTTGTAACTGTCAGTGTTGTTCTGATTATGGTCATAGCCTTTTGTTCATCAATATGCAAATTTAAATGGGTTTGAGATGGTCGGCCAAGGAGAGACAGAAGCCTGTTGACTCACTAGCTCTAATCTTCACACACTTTAAATCTCTTCTGAGGCAGAGTGGATTGAAGTGTGGCAATAAATCTGAGGATTTTGTTAGAGAATAATTCTTGTGGGGTATCACCACCATCCGTCACTGCTGTGGACTGGAAGTTTCCACGCGCAGACAGAAGACCAGAGGAAGAGGGAGAGGGCTTTTAGCTAACGGTAGGAACTCAGGATGTATTTGCCTTTTTATGGCTCATCCCTTTAAGCTCAAATGTTTATTTTTTAAGTACACAAGACTTCAAAGTGTGAAAATTTTTAAATCTTTAGGTCCTCTGCTTTTTTTCCTTTCCAACTTCTCAATGAATAGCCACCTGACCCCCTCTCTCAGAATATCCCATCTCATCTAATTCCTTAATAATTACTTCCTCATTGTGACAATTCTTTGAGCTAGCATCTTCAAGATCTTTACGAGTCCGGTCATATAAACTCCTCTGAAAACTATGTGGCTAGGGAGCAATTAATAAGCTAGCCTTCACAACAGGTTTAAATTAACTTTATTTGCTAACTATACTAATACATTGTTCTACTGAATTACCACTTCCCAACAAATCTGTGGAGTAGGATTAAAATTCCAATCAGCCCTGCTTAGTGGTCATATTTTACCACTTGTTACAAATTATAACCATCTTCCTTTGATGCATTTATCAGAAAACGGTCCCAACTGTGCTCTCTCACAAACATATTTAACTTGCATTTTATAACAGAGTAGTTAGAAGTGTTTCCTCTTAGGGCCTCAAACCCTCGTCTGGATTTGGAAGCTGTGTGCCTTTGAGCAAATTACATATTGTCCCCGGGCTTGGTTTCTTCAAACTGGGATAATAACAGTTCCACCGTCAAGGAGTTGTTTTGAGAATGACAAGAGATAATGGCTGCAAGGGAAGGACTTAGGCTCCAACGTTAGGTGCCACCCGCCCCAGCGCTCCCAACCACCCTGTCCCCTCGCATCCATTTCCACAGTTGGGGGATTATAAACCTGAGACGGTCGCGACGCCCTGTGGCTCCTGGACACCCCGGGGAGAGCACAGCTTTGCACTGTGTGACCCTGGGGTCTCAGTGTGAGCGATCGGAGTTGACAACAAGCTCGTCAGGAGGAAAAGTGCCTTTCTGTCTCCAAAGAGCACTTTTTTGTGTGTGTAGAAAAAGACGCACATTTGTCTAGTTATATGCAAAGCTATCTGACTGAAGTACCCAGCATGGCATATGAATAGTAGAACAGGATTTCAATTATAGGCAAAAAAAAAAAAGGAGCTAGAATATCAAATGAAAATTTCTTTTTTTTCCCCTAACCAAAAAAAAAAATTATTGAGCTGTAGGAAACTCAGATCTTCTACTTTAAGCATTAAGGAAAAAAACAATAACAATGAAAAAACTGCAGTCAAACTCTAACAGGCCAGTCAGCTATGGAACTGATGAAAACCGAAAACTAGATTAAACTCTAGCCTCATCATCCAGATCCGATGTCAAGCCACTTCACTATAATTACCTGCTTAAAAATTTAATGATGCTTCTGCATGAATTTCAAAACTAAAGACACTGTTATCAGCCATTGAGAATATTTTTCAATGAAAGAATGCTTTATGCCTTGCTTCCATTTCAACAAAACGGTTAAGTGCTAGAGCCATGTATGGGATTAGACTATCGAATCCTCTAATCAACGGCATTATTAGAGACAACAAAAGGCTAAGAGGATTCTTAGGTAATTCAACTGTAAATTTGAACTGGTTGAGTTACATTATTTCTGGAGTCTAAATATCATAGTGATGTACAGCCAACAGAGAAAAAAAGAAAACAATTTTTTGGCAGGGCACAGATAACCCAAAGGGACTTACCATAATTGCTGTTAATAAAACAATATTATTCTCAGTACCAAAGATTTGCTAGATCAAGCAATAAAAATACAAAAGAGAAGATGTTTACCTAGGGTACTTAATTATCAGTTAGATCAAATTGATCCCAAAGTAAGGAGGAAATGCTTAACTAATGTACATTTTAATAATAACCACAGACAACTGAGGAAAACTTACGGTTCCTTAAAGGAGAAAAATGTTACATGATAAAAGCAAACACTTGTATTTACGTTTGTTTGTTTAAAGTAGACACTTGTACTCTTCACAAAAACAATATTTAGGTTCTAATCTAAGCATGTACACTATGATGGTTAAAATAATGTAAAATATTTTATTAAAATAATTTATGATCTAAAAATAAGGAACTAACTTGGTCAATCTGTCTTGTAACACAAATGGCTATCAGAAGATTAAAAAGGAAATTATAATACTGCTTCTGCCTTTGTGGGGAATATAATCAAATGCATGACATTCATTCTTTGGCTCTAGTCATTTCAATTTTTTCTTGTTTAATGACATGAACAAGAAAATCTTTGCACAAAACCTGTCTCTAAGTAGCAGATCTGTATTGGTATGTGGGGAACACTATTTCAAAGTTTAAAAAAAAGCATACAGGCCGGGCGCATTGGCTCATACCTGTAATCCTAGCACTCTGGGAGGCCGAGGCAGGAGTTCAAGACCCCATCTCAACTAAAAATAGAAAAATTAGCCAGGTGTGGTGGCCTGCACCTCTAGTCCCAGCTACTCGGGAGGCTGAGGCAGGAGGATGGCTTGAGCCCAGGAGTTTGAGGTTGCTGTGGGCTGTGATGACACCACTGCACTCCAGCCTAGCTGGGATGACAGAACAAGATCTGTCTCAAAAAAAAATTAATAAATAAAAGCATACAGGCCGGGCGCTGTGGCTCACGCCTGTAATCCTAGCTCTTGGGAGGCCGAGGCGGGCGGATTGCTCAAGGTCAGGAGTTCAAAACCAGCCTGAGCAAGAGCGAGACCCCGTCTCTACTATAAATAGAAAGAAATCAATTGGCCAACTGATATATATATAAAAAATTAGCCGGGCATGGTGGCGCATGCCTGTAGTCCCAGCTACTCGGGAGGCTGAGGCAGGAGGATTGCTTGAGCCCAGGAGTTTGAGGTTGCTGTGAGCTAGGCTGACGCCACGGCACTCACTCTAGCCTGGGCAACAAAGCGAGACTCTGTCTCAAAAAAAAAAAAAAAAGCATACAGACACGAATGAAAGTAATAGCTAAGAAAAACATAGTTTAGAAATTGCCTAAATTAGAATTCCTCTATATCATCTTGTAACTCAACAAATTCCCCCCTGAAAATAACCTTTTCTTCCTAAATTTATTTCTAACATAATTAAATGAGCAAATCTGATGGGAAAGCGGCCGTGCCTTTCTAACGAACACAATGTCAGGAAAAGGTATACTTTAAGCAAAATAGCGTTTACAAAGAAAACGCCTTCCTTAGGGACCAGGAGCCCAGCGGAACACAGCGTCTTAGTTTCACCTCCCTCCCCACGACCCTGTCGTGCTGGTCCCGGGATGTGCGAGACTGCCCAGAGTTATCAGAGCTCTGAGCCACGGAGGCTGTGTTTACTGACACCGAGATGTGGTTTAGAGGGAAAATGCCAACGCTCTAACAGTGGCTGAACGTTGGTTTCTGACGTGCTCTGCCGTCTAACAGAGCCCGGGACCCGCCGGGCCCCTCCCAAACTCTGGCTGCCGGGGGCAGGCCAGTCTTCCTGGGCTGTCCCACCAACAAACAACCCAGGAACCAGAGATGGGTACACAGCAGGTGCTTTCCTGTGTTTGTCACCTAAACGGGAGGGCTGCTGAACTGGCGCGTGTCTTCTTTAAGCCAGATGATGTAATATGAAGCGTACCTGTCCATATCTGGTTTTAATCCATAGATGCACATATTTACATATGTGTATTTGCTTTGGTTGCAGAATTAAATAGATGGTTTAAAAACCCTGTTGACATTCATACAATGGAGTTTTCCTTTATATTGACTGTTCTTACCTCAACATCCTTTTTGAGCTTTTCCAAGAACACCTTTTTGTTGTTATCATCAATATAAATCTTTTGGCCCTTATTAATGAAGTCATTATCCTTTAAAGTTGGCAGTTCTTTGGCCTAAAACAAACAAAAAAAAGGATGAGAAAGAAGCTTGAGCAAAATCTAAAAACACGCACCCCTTCCAACATTGCAGGGGTCTCGTCCAAGGCACTAAGGTGGGAGGCGACCTGAGTACCACAAGGGGGCACCAGTGAGCTAGGCCCTCTTGGAAGCCTTCCCACAAGGAATGGACGGTCAGACAAAACCCGCATTAGAAGGCTTTTTTATGTAACACATTTCATGTCTTTCATAGAAATGAACCTTGACTGCTTTCTCAGATTCACTTTCTTACAAGAAGTCTTCTAAGTATAGAATTTGTATTCTTAGAATACTTTGTCAGGAACCCTCAATTTTCTTACTGGTACAACCCAAATCCATCCATCCCTTCCTCCACTTTTGGGTGTAGCCTTTGCTGGGTTCACGTTAAAAATAACATGTTCTCTTGTCTCTCAAAAGCCTTGTCCATAATCATATAGACTGAGTCAAGGAGAACATGTACCCGGAGGTGAGCCGTCTGACCTTCCAAACCTTCCTATCCACCGCTCCACCAAGAAGGAAATTCTCTTCTCATCTGGACGATGTACGAGGAAAAAAGTCTTCTCCACATTATACATACTAAGATGAGAAGTTCTACCCTTTACAAATAGCAAGAGGGTGAGCTAGCAAGTAACTGCACTGATGCCAACCAACGCAAAGTAACCAGCGACTATCAAAACATGGGCTGTGAGCAGAAAAAAAACTTTTGCTTTTGCTGCAACATATAGGATAACATAGGCATATCGTTTTAAAATAGTGTGGATTATCCTATTTCCCGCAACCTGCTTTCTGAGAGAGCTCAAAATCAGTTGACCCTCCCCCCCTTCAGCTAACCATAGTTTATTTCCTTCAGTTGAAAGCAATCCAACGTAATACACTACCTTTCTTTGTATATTAGTGAATCCTGAACAGTCCTCTTTTCCACAAGCATGAACCAAATGAAAAAAATAATCCAAGGAAACAATATATCTTCCTGGCCCCCACACTGCTGCACTCCCTTCTTTATTCAGAGCAAAAAGAAAACTCCTAGGGCATGTCTACCGAATCATTTCAGATGTCAGAATGGTGTACTTCCCCCTCTCATTTTATAAAAAATATGCACATGCATGTAGACACAGTCACATGTATCTACACACATGTGTGTATGTTATGCATTTCTAAATTAGTATCTTTGGCTAGTAATTTTGTTTAAATTTGAAAAGAGAACATTTGAACAAGTTTTGCATCTTGAATTAGATCTAACTACTGCCAAAATAATAATTATCTTTACAAAGCAGGCATAGCGAAGCTCAGAAATCCAGAAACTCAATTCAACAGGCAGTTACTGAATGACTATCACGTACAGGGATGCAAATAATGAATAGTCAAAATTTCTACTCCAAAGGAGTTTGTAATTTTGTATGGGAGAAAGATAGGAAAGCAAGTAGGTAGAAAATAAGGCAGCATGAGTATGTAACATGCTCAGATAAGATTCTGGAGGGAGCTGATCTAACTTCTAACACTTCTATGCTGAGTCATGGAGTCTTCAGGAAACAAAAATGCAATGACATTCTTTACAAAAACTCAGGATGGATCTGCTAGACTAACCCCTAAAGCTGTCATTAGTAATTTAAAAATGTCATAATGTAAAAAAACCCCACAAAACACTGAATGTGAAGATAGCTCATGAATGTTAAATGTTCGAGTCAATTATACCAGATGATCGGGGTTTCTCTTCTATTAGAACTGTAAACATAATGAAGTTTCAGAGTGAATGAAACGCAGTTCTAAAGTTTAACGAAGCTGACTCAGAGGGCAGCGGGAAGAGAAACACTGCTCAAAATATAGACTTGGGAGTGCCCTAGAAGGAGAGGTCGAAGCCAGACCCACAAACAAAGACAGAGCAAGGATGGCAATTCTCCAAGCAGACACCTTGGGCGTTTGTGTGCAACTGTGTGTTAGGAACGGGGGTGTGTGTGGTTAGTAGGGGTGTTAAGGATTAAGACATCTGCCTCAATCCCACAACCCATTTTATATGTGTAAGAAAAGAAGGGAGGGGGAAAGGGCTTTTTGTGTGTGAAGCCAGAGCTTGACAGACCACAGCCGAGGTGGTAAGTTACACATTAGGTATGTCTTTGTAACACGAGTCACATTAATGAAGACGAATGCCGCTGAGGCTTGCCCTGCAGAATGACCTCATTGGGCAGGGAAAGTAGAATTCTACCTCATAAAACTCTGGACACCCCGCACTATGTGACTAAGCTCACTCATGAATTTCACAGGCACTAGGGACGTATTTAGATTGGATCGAGTTCAAAAAAGGGCACCCAGATTGGTTAGGAGACTTAAGGGCTTATTGAAAAGGGCAAGAGGCGAAGGCGGCCCCTCTTAGCAGGGCAGCTGCGAAGGCGGAATCCAACACTGGTCTGCAAACACCCACCTCCTACATGTTTGCCGTGAGACACAGCGCTCGCTCGGCCGCAGCAGGGTTTTGGACTCACGAATCTGGAAGCTGCGATCTTGGTTCCACCCCTTACTTGCCAGGGACCGGCGGCCAGGTTCCTGGCCCTGCCCAGGACCTTTCCTTGCATGTAGAAGGGTGAAAAGCCACCACGACTACCACGTACAGCAGCCTCAGTGCCGTGCCTAGCACTTTGTGTACATAATTTTATTGGCATTAGGCACCCACCTCCTCTTTGCAATAACCTTAACTATCATTCTTACCCGTCACAGCCAAGGAAACAGATGATGCAATTTAACTACGGAAGTGACGTGTGGAGATGGGAGCCTGCATCATTCTGCTGAGGTAGAGTTGTGCTGAGAATTCAACCTGAAACCCTGTGACACAAACAGCGATGCCGGGCACGATGGCAAAGTGCCGTGACCCTAGCACTTTGGGAGGCCTGAGGCGGGAGGATCACTTGAGTTCAAGACCAGCCTGGGCAATAGTGAGACCCTGTTTCTACAAAAAATACAAAAATTAGCTGGGCATGGTGGTGCGCACCTGTAGTCCCAGCTACTCAGGAGGCTGAGGCAGGAGGATCACTTGAGCCCAGGAGTTGGAGGCTGCAGTGAGCTATGATGATGCCACTGCACTCCAGCCTGGGCAACAGAGTGAGACTCTGTCTCAAAAAAAAAACACCAAAAAGCAACAACAAAAAAAGTGGTACTTGTTATCACAATCACCACCACCATCATTGCTGTGATCATTAATACACTGTACAGATTTAAAACTGGTATTATAGGTTGAGAGACTGTACACAAAATATTTTCTTTAAAAATAAAACTTTGTTCTTTTTACTAAGAATTAAATGACAAAGATTAAGTCACCTGACAATGATTCACCCTCAAGAAAATTTTATTGTGTAGATTTTTAAAAGAAATTTCAATATATCCCTCTGATAATGGGCAGTGTTTATATTAGAAACACATCTTTTTTTTTTTTTTTTAAATGAGGAAAGCTATTATACTATGAATTAGTGGAACTTAATAAACTCTCTTGGTGTAAAAGTGCCCACAAAGGTGACGTCTGCAGAGCAGCACAGACTTGACTGTGGGCAGTGACATCTTAATGTGGTGGCTGGTTCCACCCCTCTGCTTTTAAACACTGGATTATTTGCACTCAGGGTTTCCGAAGCTCACGGGTCCCTGGGTCTGGTTCTTTAAAGGGTGTCTTTAATATCCTTTCTAGTTCAGCACAGAAACAAACAGCCAGAGGGCGGAGGGAACCCCCAGGGCTGACTAAAGGCAGCTCAGAAACGCTTCTTAACTGTGAATTCTCTGCGGCCTGCTTCCAGCCGGTGGTCAGCAACGTTTCTGAGGTGGTAGCAGGCTGAGTCTTTATTTATTTGCTCTCCGTTCAGTTCTCCTGGCCAGTTCTGTGGACGCTGGAGCCTCCAAGTGCAGCGGGGCAACTGCCATACAATATGTTGTACTTGCTAGGAGGAGGCAGGACGTGGGAGGGAGCCTTCTCTTCCTCCTCCCGCCCGCCCTCCATGGTGGGGCTCCTGCCCGGGGGCCCCCAGAGCTGCTCCAAGGCCGCGGCCAGCCGAGGCTCCCGAGATCATCCATACAGCCCAATTCAGCCCCGGGCCGGCACAAGCAAGGCTGTTTTCCCTCCCGCACAGGGCAATGCTGCTCCGACGTGGGTCGGACTCCAAATGGCATTCACCTCCGTTAATGTGACGTGTAAATGCACAGAGGCTGCCAAAGGCATCAGTAGAGTGACACTGTGCCCCTGCAACCTAGCTACTCCGTTTGGATAAAATAAGCGCAGGGTGGGCAGCCTCCCACTGCTGTGCTGGCCCCAGGTTGGTTCAGAGTAGGAGTCAGACTGAAGCACGCCCGGATCTCAGGCTGCCTGGGTTGTATCTCCTCTAATTATCCACTGTGTGACTTTGGGCAAGTTACTTAACCTCTCTGTGACTTGGTTTTCCTTCTTTAAACGGGGATTAGCAAACATGGGGTTGTGAGGATTACACGAGCTCATATGTGTAAAAAGGCTTAAACCAGTGCCTGCCACACGGCGCGTTATATGCAGATGTCGTCATTGTTGTTTCTGTGTCATGGTCTCAAGTATGGCTTATGGATCTAGAAAAAGTTCAACACTGGTAAATCCAGAGTGGTATTTTTCTTTTAAAAAATGTACTGAAATATTTAACATTTTTATACTTAGCTGTGATGTTCTGGATCAGCTGCTTAATCTGCCAAAACTTCGGTTTCCTTATCTAATGGGAAATTAATAATACTGTACCTATGAAATAGGGTTTAGTGTGTGAATTAAATGACAATGAAGCACATAGGTCTCAGTAATAATAACTTGCTATAAGTTTGTTTCCTTTTTCCCTTCTTCCTAGTTTTTTTTTTTAAAATAGGCTCTTTAAATTGGGGATATCAATAATCTAAACCATGTTTAAAATTTCCTTTGTTTTCAAGTTTTATCCCAAAGTCACAAATATCTCATGAATTTTCCACACATTGCCCTCGCATTTTGAAGACACTTT